TCCAAAGATACTGGCAGCGTTCCCCCTTTGAATAGCTAGACTAATTCTTTGTCCGAGGTAGCTGCCAGCTCTTCGGTCTCCTGTGACGTCGACCAACCTTTTTGCTATTTCCTTAAAAAGCCTTACAGCGCTAGGACCCCACGGACCAAGGGTCTCGACACCGAATGGGACAAAATCATATTCGGAGCCTAGACCCCTGTATTTGCAAGCCTTAGCTTTTTCAGCCGCTTCGCAAGCCGCACCAGCTCTGTTGTTGGTTCCATGTAGATGGGAAGGGGCCAGCGTGTCTGAACAGGTTGCATCCCATACTAGCATCCGGCCCATCTTCCATGGAATCAAACTCATACCGTCGGGTCTCTTGCAATACCAGTCGGCTCAAGTAGACTTGGCACGTTGACGGTGGCAAGGGACCGGTGTATGATATCGTTAAGTGCGGCATGTCTCGAGAAGCGGCCTGCACTTTTTTGGCATGACAGTCCGTGATGTCCTAGCTTGTCGACATCACCGCCACAGGGACATTTATAAGGAGCGCAGACCGGGACCCCAAGCCGTAGACAGGTTGCAGGTGTCAGGACAGGTGTGACAGGTGTCAGGCTCAAGAAAAGTTCCTATATTTGACGAAGGGTACGCGTGAAGCCAGTAGCCGGCCTCATGCGCACCCACGGCCAATAGCCTAGCACGCGCCGACCCCGTACTACAGCTCAAAAGATTATTATAAGTCAATTTGCAAAATATGTCGTCCCAGCTCCTCTGTGAATTTGGAGAAACTGGAAAATTTTGACCTGGGCATGCAATTAAGAAAGCTTTTCTAGCTTCCTCCAAGCCAGCAATCTCAAAGTTTGAAGGAGATGCCCTTAAAATTTTACTTATGAGATTTGCTGAACTATGGACAGAAGATAGGAAGGCTGGTAAAGCGACACTGGAAATTTTGCGAATCCCTAAACCACCATAATGGATGGGTAGGGATGCTTGGGTCCAAGACTGCTCGTTTAGCTGCATATTAAGAATTGATTCTAATTTAATTTTGGATTAAGTCGTCTAATTGTGTCAAAAGATCTGGGTGATTCCAAAAGGAGCAGCAACGGAGCACATATGTAAATTTTGGGACAAAAAGACAGAGTTTTAAGATGCAAAGTGCATAATGTGGACTAATTTCAAGGAGACGGTCAGCAGAATTTTGAAATTTATTCAGTGAATTATTAATATATTCAGAAAAAGAATCATCAAAAATAGGTGAACCTAAAAGGTGAAGGGAATCACTGTTAACTATTTTAATATTTGGAGCCAAAATATTAAATTTTTGTTTTACTTCATTAAAATTTAGGTCGCTGTTTTTTATAAAAAGTTCGCATTTGCTAAAATTAAGCTCCAAACCAATGGCTTCAAATTTATTTTTGATTAAAAAAAGGTCCGAAAACACAGTATTCACATCACCTCCTAGGGTTCCGTCGTCCAAATACCAAACGTTGAATTTAGACTTTATTTTTTTGATTATCGGATTTATAGCCAAACTAAAAATTGCAGGCCCAAGGGGATCACCCTGTTGACAACCTACTTCCGAGGATAGTTCATTAGAACGATATAACAATTTTGTTGGGTCAGCGTAACGGAGAAGAAGATAATTGTATATTTCTGGTATATGTTGTTTTATTTCCATCAGCAGGGTATCCCTATTTACTGAATTGAATGCATTTTTGACATCAATTTTGAGCAACACGTTAGGCTTTTCGTAAGTTAGGAAAGAGGCATCGTAGGGCATGGACGGCTGCCTCACACCCTCCTTTTATACCGAAGCCTAATTGTACGGGTTCAAATTCCGAATTTAATTTTGGTAAAATATGTCGAACAGCAATTTTAGAGGCCAGACGTCGTAGTATTGATCCAACAGCAATTGGTCTCACCCCTCCGTCCTTTTTGGTGAGGGCAATGAGGTTCGCCCCGAAAAGAATGGGAACAATTTCTGGATTGACACTACCGGAATACATAAAGTTGATTAATTTAGTGATCGAATTTACAAGTTGCTTGCCTGCATCACCCACAGAATGCGATGTTAAGTCTTTCAAATGTTGGGGTGAGATTCCATCCAAACCTGCTGCCGAACCTGGTTTAAAAGATAAAATTGCATCCGTAACATCTTTGTTTTGAATTTGAAGGCATGCTTGCCCTGCTGTTGGTGGGTCGAGAAAATATGGGTTTACTGGAGCTGGGGGATGTTTTTTCCATAAGGCCTGAAGGGTGTCAGGGGTATCTGGTGATAGCACGTCGTTGGAGAACAAAAGGCGAGCGGCACCTTTGAGATCTCCGTCACAGATTTTATTTTCGATGAGTTTGTTGCGATTACGAGGGGGAGCATCATGTTTGATCAGAGGTGCGGGAGAAGGCGAGAAACTTACAGCACAGTTATTCTTGATCTTTTGTGTCAAGGATAAATTCGGTTCATCAGTTTTTATTATATGTAGTGTGCTGTATGAAAATAAAAATAGGTTCTGCCAGTCTTGAGTACTATTGCTTATGTAACATTTCTGGATTAATTTTGACAAATGTGTAGCAACGGTAATTCGAGCTCCCCGAGGGATTCTCTTAACTATAGGTAAACTATTTTTCAAATGGCTAAGATATGTGTGGAAAGGAGTTGGATCGTTGACTACATAAGTAGGCGCACTCGGAATAATGGGATGGATGTCTAATGGTGAACTATTTTGGCTAATACATTTCCTATGTGTTTTTGTAGTGTGTATGTTGAGGCCTTTCAAAGATTTGAAAGACTTGTTGCACTGTGTACATGTATGGGTCGTGTTCGACGTGCCATCACAAGATTGGGTCACGGGCTGCATTCACAACAGTTAAATACATTCACAAAAAAAGAGTAAAACTTAAAACTAATTTAAAACACAATAAAATAACTTAAACTGTACACTGAAAACAGAAAATATGATAAAGTCAAAATATGACGTTTTCTTGTTTTGATATCAAGACGCATGCGTCGTTACAGAGTTGCGTCACAGGATGGCAATGATTTGAATTTGAATACTCAAACATGCTCACTGAGAATAATTTTGACCACCTTCTTCGAGGAAAATCGAAATTGCTGTACTGGCCAAATCATGGGCAAATACATGCGAGCAACCGCCGGCAAAAGTTTTATGAAAATAGGGTATTTGACAAGTTTTAGAAAACAATCTCACTTTATTGAGTAATGCTTATGGAGTCCGTAAAAAGTGGAAATTCATCATTCTGTTGTGTATTTCAGTAAAAATAACCAAATCAAAAACTCCATTTTCAAGTTGCCGCGAAAACGTTTTTCTGGACAATATGGCGTCTTACTAGTGTGTAACATCATACGACTGTTATTAAAACGTCAAACGATACAATGTAATGTCACTTTAACCGGAAGTTTATTTGCGTGTGACGTTATTTTAGGCTCCGCCAATCCCAAGCGTTTTGGGTCACGTGACAGTAGATAAGAAAACTATTATCTTTTTCGTGGGTTTTTAGTAAAATTATGAATATTTTTTTTGGAAAAATAGTAAAAACCCCTGCCAATATTGATTCTAATCACAAATGCTAACAATTGGCACTTTATCTTTACTAATATAAGTAAGTATGTTTGTAACGAATTAGCTCAAAAAGTACTTGACCGATTTTAAAAATTCTTTCACCATTTGAATGCTACATTATCACTGAGTAATATAGGCTCTAGTGTATTTTCAAAAAGTTAGGATTCCCAATGAAAACTTCGATAATGTAACGCAACGTGTGTACAAAATACCTAAAAATAGCCTTTTATCGCGTACGCTGAGGAAGTCATTGGCAATAGAGCAAAATGATGTAATAAAGTTTTATAGAGAATACCGATATCTACAAAAAAGTCCACGATACCATATGTCTAAATATTACAGTTATGGTGACATAACTGACATTAAAAGTTCTGTAAAAAAGTCTACAACAGCCTATGTCCATTTTTTTAGTTTTGACTCACTATAAACCTTCTTCAAATTAACGCGGGTGAAACCGCAGGGGACCCTCTAGATTCACAACTGTTGTAGACTTTTTTACAGAACTTTTAAAGTGGAAGAATTTCGTCATACATGATTTTTGTGTAACTTTAATCGTTTACCCAGCGCGCGCAATGGAGTCTCACAAATGGAATATTTTTACCCGTTTTTGCAATATTTTTCATCGATGCTCCGCTGCTACTGGGCGTAGCCTGGTAATAAATAGCCTATAGCCTTCTTTGATAAATGCACTGTCTAATAAAAATCGGAACAGTAGAGAAATATTGCATTCGGTACAACGGGTCCTAAACTACGCAACGAATTTTTTACTTGGAATGTAAGTTTCATATTTATTATGAAGAAAGTCATTGTGTATAAAACAAGCCTTTGAACAAAAACTATAGTCTACACTACAGCTTTACACCGAAGCAAAGCGAGGGCGGGCCGCTAGTTTTTAATACTGTCAAATACCCTATTCATATCTGATGTGGTTTAGCGGCCCTATGAATTACATATCTGTCGTATAATTAAAAAAATAAGGAGCTCGATAGCGCAAGTGATTAGCGCGGTGAAGTTAAGCAACTTTCGAAGTGGTCGGTCATTGGATGGGTGAACAAAAATTTACTGTCTATAGCTCCTTCGTGCTACGGAAGGCACGCTCAAAGTCGTTGATCCCGACTGCATCTGCGGTCTTTAGCATCCACCAACCCGCATTTGGCCCGCATGGTGGGTCATGGCCCACTCTCCCTATTCCATCCGTGTGAAAGTTCTGTGCTCCAGCAGAGAGGACATTAATAGGCTGATGATAATATGATGATGATGGTCAGAGAAAAGTACTATACAAGATTTGGCCACAACTAGAGATTGATGCACTCATGTATGTTACCTCGGCTTCGCCTCTGCCCACAGGTTCATCCATCAATACCTCTTTTTCTGGCCGCTAGTAATGTAGGTACTTTAATTATTTTTAAATGATGAATATTTTTAAGAAAGAATAATAGGTACCTGACGATCATATCTTGTGCCACTTCATCTATGATAGAGGTGTAGAGTTTGATAGTTTTTGGTTGCAAAAGTACCGGATTGACTGTAGACCGGAACTTTTTCCAGGTTTCACCATGACTATAACAGATACGCACGTCCAAACAATCAAATATTTCATTAAACTGTTTTATTTATAACTAGCTAGTAATAAATCAAGCTTCTTTTATTTTATTCAATTAATAGAATAATTATAATGGGGCAATAAGAACTGACGAGCTGGCGAACAAAACAGTAAAAGTACGCATCTGGTCAAACTACTTTTTTTTTACAGTCCGGAGGATTCGGGCCCGTTGTTTTTGAATCTCTAATAATTTTCAATCAAAACCGCCTAAAACAGTGTCAAACTAAATTTATAGATTAAAAACCATTCCAAAAGCTCACTGGAGGTATGCCATTCAGTTTCATACAGCTCCTGTAAAATTTAATTTTATGTAATTATACCTTTTCGTTCGCCAACTCCTCAACTATTTACGTATGGACTAGTGATAAGCTCGGACTTTGTGTGGTCGGAACAAAATGAAATTAAGTATTCTTTCACAGGGTTTGGCCCTACTATTAGCCACCAACTATTGACCCTATTTCAACCAAGTTTTTTGTACGACTTACTCTGTTAGCAATCCGGTCATGTCAGGATTGCTTTGGTTTTCGTTGCCTTTATTGCGTTTATTTCTTCTGTAATAATCCAATGATTGGAAACCGCTCCGAATCGGCAACCAATTTTCTGATCGCAAAACCTGAAAAGTAAAAATCATAGAAAGAGATGTCTTATTAACATGTTGATAGAATAAGCTTTAAACTTTAATAATATTGCAATCAATTTTGTAGAAGCAATAAGGACGATGACTAAGTTTTTTTCTTTGGGTAGATTATCAAGAAGTATTGAACACGGTTTTCTTTTTTTCCATAATCAAAATATTACAAAAATATATTGAATTGAAATGTACCACCACGTCGTCTTGCTTGGTACAATTTTAACTTAGAAGTGACGCCACGTGCCTCCAAACCTAGGTGTTTTGATCTTCGTCGTTTTTTGGTTGATTGACAAAAGAAGAAATAAGCTTATCCATTTTTTTATAATCTAACTGACACACTAAATAGAATTTAATTTACTTTACCCCGTCAATATATCTATTCCTGCTTTCGTGTTTATGATTTTGCTTATTTTTTCCTGCAGCAGCTATCACTGTAACAAATCTTTCACCTCGAACCCTATAACTGGCCAACTACCCATCATGAGAGATAGAATTCAGTTACAATCAAACTAAGAGACGTTAATTCATTTTTAAGTCTGATTAATGATATGATGATAATGTACGCTACTTCGAGATGTGATAAATATTGTTATCTCTTCTGTCATAAGGCTTGACAAAACCAATAGGGAATATGTAAATAAGGCTCATTTTTATATAAACTTTATTACTTTTGAATTGTCCTCCCATTAATATTAAAAAAAATTGAGCAAGAAATTGAACAGTGAAAAACTCGTGGAAATGCATTTATCTGGGAGCGTTTGTGACGTAGGAATACAAAACAACAAATCAACAAACCAGCGCCATGTACACGGGATATGTCAACCTAACCTCCTAATCTAACTGTGGACTTCTTTATTTTGTTGCTAGGTTGCTATGGATTGTGACGACACTCCAAGAGTTTCAAAATAGCGAGCGTTTAAAATGCCCGTGCAGTGACTATTTTAGACTGATTAGGTACACTATTTTGTCGACGTTGAATATTTTTATACTATATTAAAGAAATGCAAACTACGAAAAAATAACCTGCATATTCCTATTTCAGTGTATTTCTATTAAGGAGGTATGTAACTGCCAAGCCACCCTTTAGACCTTTTAGATCACTTTTCACTTATAAATCAATTTGAGTCGTAGCCTTGAACTACGAGTATTGACTAATCTACGCGTCGCATCTGCGTTGCCGTGCAAACACATTAGATTAGAACATGCGATCCAGGCGATGCGACTGTGGCCTACTTTGAAATTGTCAGTGACTTCGCGATATATTTTATAAGAATCTATGAATGTATTTCAAGGGTATGGATATGGAAACATAAGATCAACAAGCAAAAAGATCAGCAAATAAACAAGGTTTCGTCACTGCAGCTGTGCTTTAACAACGTCGTATACCTTTATAAAAATAGTGTCACGATGAGCTTATTAGAATAACTTTTTAACAAAAATGAAAACCGTCTACACAAAGAACAAACCACTAAAAGTAAGAAATTGTACATACTCTTTACGATAAAGTTAATATAAGTATTATCGAAAAGAGGAACAATAAGTGCAAGAAAGAAACCAAACCATTCCGCAAACGCTAATGCGAAATAAAGACAAAAAAATGTCTGTGAAACCGGTTTGAAATCATTTACTCACCTTTAGTCTACTGTCTTATTGGATCCTATATTTATTTTGTAGATTTTCTCACAATCACTTACGCGTTTTAACCGATTTCAAAAAGGAGGAGTTTCACAATTGGTTCGGTATGTTTTTATGTATGTGTACACCGATTACACCGAGATTACCAATCTGATTTACATGATTCTATTGTTGTCTGATGCGGAATAGTTGCTTTTTACTTCCATAAAGGTGCAATTCAATATGGCCTTGTAGTTTTAATTTTATGAGTTTTTTTTTTAACTTGGACAATTTAATTTTCAATATACTTTGTTTATATGTACACTGATAATTTAAAAATTACTGATCCGATTTAAATGATTCTTCTTTTGTTCAAAGGCATATATAATTTGGTGTGACCCAGTAGTTTTAATTTTAAGCGTATTTTCGTTCACTTGAACGATGTAATTTTCACTTTACTCCCTTATTAATAAACGAAGAATAAGCTTGGATTAGTTACTCCGTGTTTTGTCTCTGTAAATTGAATGACAAATGGCATATGAGTGACAAAACTGGGCGTAACTAGTCTAAGCTAATTCCTTGTTTATTAATAAGGGGGTACGTGTTTAAACTACGCATTGTGAATATTTAGTGGTTGTAGCTTTCAACGGTGTGACGTAGCATAGGGTTCTGATTAGTATTCTGGTTCAATCGAACTTTCAACTAGATACCTACACAGCTCTTAGTCGTATTAATTTCGGGTTTGGCAAATGATAGGTGTTTCCTTTTAAACTCTAATACATACATGCGATGGTATGTACATCTACATAATCACTTTCATAGCTACGTCAAAACTTCAGCACATTTGGTAGGTACTAATTGAGTTATTGTATGTTAAAAATAGTTTCAATATTAAATTGTCCATTGTTTTATCTGCCTGAGTAAATCATTTGAATATTTAATATTGTAAGTTCTCTTCAGTTTATTATTTGTTTATTACCTGGGCCTTCCTTATTCCTTCTGGGCCTGATTCTTGTTTGCAATTCAAACAAAAACATTTCACAGCCCAAACACACATACTTCAGTTTAAAAATTTTCAATATGAATATAATCTATGTATCACCTGTGCACATTGTTCAGGATCATACAAAAGTATAATCGGCGGCCTCCCCAGAAATCCGTCTAATTTCACAATCGGTCCGTAGTGGTCGTAAAGAGCCTGCCCTAGTTTTAATCCATCAGTGAGGTTCAAGTCTCCTGAAAGTTAAATAAAAATCTGTTATTATTACCATGAGGTGCATCAAATTACTGCATGTTAAGGGTCAATGGAGTTCAATTGTGAAGATTATGATGTGGCAAAAAAGCGCTACTTTAAAAACACAATCCTTAACTGGAGTTCTAGAAGCCTTATTGACCATGAGAAATACAAGACCATCAAGTTTCATGTTAATTCATGGTTAGTGGTTTTTGGTAAGGTGGTGAACACCTTGTGGACATACTAATTCGTATGAAGGGACATTCTCTCATATTTGGATGCTTGTGCCAATTTAATTTGAAATGTAAATCTACTGTTCCTTGATAGATTATCCTACTAATAATATAAACATGAAAGTTTATATGTTTAGGATCTACAACGATTTAAAGTAACAATGAACTTTAAACTAAAAAGCATAATATAATAACTTAAATATATTACTAAAAGAAGTCCCTTTAGGCAAGGTTCCGAAGATACTGGCAGCGTTCCCCCTTTAAATAGCTAGACTAATACTTTGTCCGAGGTAGCTGCCAGCTCTTCGGTCTCCAGTGATGTCGACTAACCTTTTTGATATTTCCTTAAAAAACCTCATAGCGCTAGGACCCCACGGATCAAGGGTCTCGACACCGAATGGGACAAAATCATATTCGGAGCCTAGACCCCTGTATTTGCATGCTTTTGCTTTTTCAGCCGCTGTCGCCGTCGCCGTCTTTTGCAATACCAGTCGGCTTAAGTAGACTTGGCACGTTGACGGTGGCAAGGGGACCGGCGTATGATGTCGTTAAGTGCGGCATGTCTCGAGAAGAGGCCTGCACTTTTTTGGCATGACAGTCCGTGTATTTTTGTTACTCAATTACGCAAAACAACTGAACGGATTTAGATGAAATTTCGCACATAGACAGTTTATAACCGGAAAGCGACACAGGATACTTTTCGTCCCGGGAAAATTTTAGGTTCTTGTGGGATTCTCAAAAAGTAAACGGGGACAAAGTCGCGGGCGGCCGCTAGTAATATTATATTTTATTAATATATGTCTTATAGAAATCCTAATTAATGATTCTCTAACACATATTTGAAATGTAATTAATCACTGATATTATTATGGAGAAATGAAGCTTTAATAATAATAATGATTGTCTTACCACTCGCACCAGGTAAAGCTTGTTTTATAAGATCCCACAAAGAAGGACCAGGGATTTCCTTCCATGATTTAGTTTGCTGTGCGGAATTCACTATCGGTGTATGAGTGGCCGTTGTTCTTAAATAAAAAAAAAAGGGTTTTTTATCTTTACGTAGACAAACAAGCTGGCAGTCCTCCCAAAGGTAAGTGTTCATTACCGCCCTTGGATACTTGCAGCACCACTGGTACCTCTCATGCTCTGAAAAAAAAGGTTTACAAGCTTGCCTTTTGAAGATCGCCATATCATACCTAAAAAGGAAAACCGCTGGGGGAAGTTCGTTCCAGATCATGCTGGTTCGCAAGAAAAAAAAAGGTGCGTAACGCACCATCCGCTAGAACGTCAAGCGTTCAGATGGCGGGGGTGAAACTTCCCTCTGTAGCGTGTTGTTATGTCATAGTAACTTAAACTATTTCAAAGTATCGATCTACCAAAATAATAATAATCTTGTTTTTTTTTTATGTTAAAAGGGTGGTAAACAAGCGTATCGTCCGCCTGATGGTAAGCGGCCACCATAGCCACGCTTGCGATATCAAAAAATATCACTCGTACCGTTGCCTACCCTGACCCAATCCCCTACTAGTCCAGTCAACAAGTTGAAAAACGTGAAAAATAGAGATAAAGCTCCTAAAAATGTAGCAATAGCTCATTGGATTCGGAATGACCTCTAGAAAAAGGCGTTTTGAGGATTATACTGCACGTAAAAAATTGCAATTGTTATTAACAAAATAATATAAAAAAACAGGGCGGGTTGCACTTCGGGAGTGCCGGCATAAGTGAAAATTTGAATATTAACTTCTAGCTTTTTTGATATTTTGGAATGGTTAGGGAACAATTTTGCACGAATTTCTTTAATTATCAGTATAAAAGTACGATCATGTATGTGGTAGAATACAATATTTATTTATTGCGCTATCGTACACAAACATATTTTTATTACATTAAAAAAGTTTATCTCTCAGAAAAATCAACTTACATTAATCACGTTTAAGCGCACTTAGCGACATAAATTGTAAAGAAATCAACTCAATGTTTAAATCTGAAGAAAATATGTGTATTATGTTACACAAATAATGATGAACATATCAACTTACATGAATCACATTTAAGCGCAGCTAGTGACATCTATTGTAAAAAAAGGCATTTTCTTCAATAAAGCTACCGCGTGGACGTCCTAGATAGAGACTTATTATAATATGGTAAAATAAAGTATTACTATGTTTCGACCAATATATTGAAAGTCAACAACCATTCCAATTTTATTGTGTGTCATGATGCGATCACCCACGTGTAACCTGACGCGAGTTTAACATTTTTTACCCATACAAAAAAAATGTACAACGCCGCTAAAGAAGTTTTTACTTCAAAAAAGAGGTATTTGTTTATAATTTGTTTATAACAAATATTTAAGTTTACAAACAATGAAATTAATTGACCTATGGAGAAATGCCAATTATGATTTTTAAAGAAGAAATCATTCCTTAACTAATTATTTAAACAATCGAAATATAAAAAAAAAACGATTATAAACAATAAAAAAAATAAGATTTTTTAATAAAATCATTATTTTGCCAAGACAAGATAATGGTAAAAAAAAAATGTTTAAATATTAAACTTGTCTATTTGTTTATAAACAATTTCTTAACAAATGATGTAATTTTTTTTTTCCAATGTTACTGAATGCCATTGTTGGATACATAAACAGCAATAATATAACGTTTGTTTAAAAAAATTAGTAACATTCTTAAACTTTTAATTTTAACTTTATAAAAATATTATAAACAAAACAATTAACTTTAATAAACTTTTATCGCGTGACCTTTACATATAAAACCTAATTTTTTAATTAAAATAAATATGTTTTTAACCCAGCAATATCGGAAAAAACAAGAGTTGCGATTCGTCCACAAGGAAGATTATTTTCAACTTTCTTAATAAAGATTGCTCACACAGAAAAATAGCAAACCACTGGAACTGTTCTAAGGACAGAGTTATGAATGCTATAAAACATTTCAAGAAGTTCAACACGACCGAAAACGTAGCAAGAAAACCGAGACCAAGAAAAACTACTCTGCGGGAACACTCTAAGATGGTGTTGTTTTGCAAAAAAAGATCCATCCAGGGGATCAGAACTGATACGTTCGGAGTTGTTTGGTGCAGGAGGGTCGAAGGGTGTGTCTGCAAGAATAATTAGACGGAGACTATGTGAGGCAAACTTGTACGGAAGAGCGTCTCGGAAGGTGCCACTTTTGAAAAAGCAAGATGTTAAGGTAAGATTAGCATTTGCTAAAAATATGTACACTGGACTGAACGAGAATGGTAACATGTGCTTTTCTCTGATGTAACAAAAAATAATATGATTAATTCTGACGGAAAACAATATGTTAGACGCCCCCCGAACAAAGATATGGATCCAAAGTCATTTATTCAGTCTAGGCTGTTACAAGCACCTGTGAAAGTCAAGAAGCTACGCCATCGGTTGCCATGGTCCGAAACACACTGTAAAAGTAATAAAAGACTTTTTAAGTAACCAGTCTGTGACAGTTTTGGATTGCCCCCTGTACAGTCATGATTTAAACCCAATAGAAAATTTATGGTTCCAGGTGATGAAGACAGTGGTAACAAAACAGACATCAAACATCGGTCAACTTTACACTGCTTTTAGAGTAGCTTGGAAGCAAATTCCGGTGGAAGATTGTAAAAACTAGATCGCTTCCATGCCCAACAGATGTCGTGTTGTCATTTCTGCCACAGGACATGCATGCCTTGTAATCAGGTGCGAAATTCTGCTGGAAAGTCCACGGATAATTTTAAAAAGTGTATTGTTGAGAGGTTTCACAACATGATCCAAGACTGTATTTTGATACATTTTGGCTGAAGTTTTCACTCCTTGTTCACAAAAATATAGTTTTGTGACTTCTTTATAAGACACACCCCACCAAACCATTACGGACGCAGGATGAAGACCACGTTGTACCTTCCCGGCTTCTTGAGCAGCTTCTTTAGAAACGTGAGCGTACACTTTATCATTTTGCTTATTGTAGAGTTCTTCAGTTGTGATTTTTTTTGTCATGGAGGAGCTCGATGGCACGTTTGGTTAGCGCGTTCGGGTGCGATTCGTTGAACTTAAGCAACTTTCGCAGTGGTCGGTCATTGGATGGATGACCAAAAATCTTCTATCTCGAGGTCCACCGTACTTCGGAAGGCACGTTAAGCCGTTGGTCCCAGCTGCGTCTGCAGTCGTTAGCACCCGCTAATCTGCACTGGGCCCGCGTGGTGGGTCATGGTCCAATCTACCTATTCCATCCATAGGGAAGGCCTGTGCCCAAACAGTGGGGATATAAATAGACTGATGATGATGAACGGGGTTTCGACGAATTCTGGCTTTAACAGCATTAATAGCCTTTGTAGTTCTAACAGCACGCGGCCGCCCCGATATTTTCTGGTCTTTGACAGACGAAGTGTTCTTGTATCTGTTGATAGTACGATGTATTAACATACGGCTGATACCAAGCTTTTGAAATGTCTTCAATATGACCGACGGCTCAATACCCACTTTGTGCAAGGTGATCACTACAATCTTATTTTCTTCAACACCCTATTCCATATTGTAATTTTATAATGAACACGACAAAATGTGAAATGGCGCAAAATCGAAAGAAGTTTTTAAAATAATATACGTGTTCCAAATTCAAAATAATTAAAAAGTTGAAAAAATTGAAGTTCTTTTGTAACAGTATTTATGGCCAGCCTAGTTTTATTATAATAACATTGCTTATGTGTTACACACAACGATATTTCAATATCGTTGGTTACACAAATCAATAATATTTAATATCTATTATATTGAGATATTTGACCTTAACGAGCAAATGATAAACTCATTATTATTAAATATACATATTATCCGGTAAAATAACAAACGTACCTTGCTATGACATTTCCAAGTGAAGTCAAACTATATAGGGGACGCAGCTTGGAGGTTTGCATGTTGTCAGAAATCAGACGATATTAAGTCGTACGACCTTGACACGTTTTTATTTAATCAAAGTTTTTATCTTTCTCTTAAATCGAAAATCGATTATGAACTTCCTTTTAATGTAATAATGCAATATTTTTTATAACAGAATGGGATAGCTCCAAGGGCCTGTTTCAACAGCACACCTGATAAACTTTGTCGAATCGATCGAGTTATCAACCGTTTGTCACTATCTGGCAGATAAAATTTGTAATTGATTTGGAATGTGAGTACTATATTTCAAATTATATATTAGGAATGACACAAAACAGCCCCTATTTCTTAACAAAGAAACGAAAGGATTTATTTCTTCTGCTTTCACGCACTTATTGAAAATAAATTTATGAGTTATAGAGAATTATTGTTAACTTGTTGTGATTACAGTTTATAAAACAATAACTATATTTTAAACGACATCATAAATGTACCTTGTCCGTCAATTTGAGAAAAAGTAGAAACATAAAACAAAACACTACACTCTTGAAAATATTTATAATTATTTTATTGCGTCGGAGTTTGTTATTATTAGGTGTCCACTCAAGTTTGTAAAGCACACACTTCACATCAAATTATCAGAATAAATCAATGAGATTAGATTTACTGTTTAAAACCACGGTTTTTAAAAGAAACTACTGTCCTTACGGCACACTGACACAACAAGAATGCAACGAAATATTGTTTGGTAAAAAATCATTCCGACCTTGGGCTGTTCTTTAATTAACCTCGTCTGCGCAATTTAAATCTTATTAAAGGAGCGGATAGAGTTCATTGTGTGTCTGTTTCGTTAGTTTTATCGACCTCGGTAGATGTCGCTGCATAATATACGTTTATGTAGGTATATTACATAACAAGCTTGACGTATATTTTTTATAGATGACATTTGGATTATCTTGGATTAATGACATTCTCATAACAGTGGGGTATATCTAGAAATAATGTATAAAAACGCCAATCACAACAAAACAGTCTCGCATGTGACCAATATACGAATTTATGTTTTATTTACGTTTAATTTAAATACAAATCTGAAAAATGGTTTAATTCTCCCACTTGGGCACGTCTCCCGTTATACATCTACAAAGTTTCTATTTATGTAAAATTAACAATATTTTATTACAATATTTTTCATAGTAAGTTAAAAAAGACGAACGGATTAACTTAATGTAGTACGAAATTTCCTTGAAGCAACTTCATGCAAATATTATTTTATGCTGTATTGCTGTTAACTTTTATATAAGACAATAAAGATGAAGCGCTACTGGCTACCACTTCTATTTGTTCTATTATTAGGTTGTTATAAAAAGTAAAGAAATAATTTATGAACGTACTTTAGTCTGAAATCCATTGCATTTTTAATTATTACTATCTCAAATTGAGTACTGGACAGCAAAAAAACATCATAGGAACATTATTTTTCCCGGGTCTCTCTCTTCCGAGCTTCTGAGAAAACGTGCAAGCCTAATAAAATATAAACAAAATTCTATGAACAATAAATGGTTCCCATATAAACTAGTAGACTAGATACTCAAATATATTGCAGTATATAACACACATTAAATTTATTTATTTATTATATTGCAACGTAAACATTATAGTTACCACAATTACATTTTGTTCATAGACGTTAGTATTGTTCTAGGTACTCATCATCATCTATCTTCAATAGAGTTGACAGCGTGTCGGTATAAAGACGTTTTTAAAAAAAACTAGGGGAAAACCGGGAAACTTTCCCAAGTGGGAACATAGAACCATTTTTTAAAATTGTAATTATACCTATTTAGCGCAAACATAACGTCAACTCCTTCATTTCGGTTCTGTTTAGTTGTTATTGGCGTTATCTTATGGCCTGGGCAAGTCTCCCGATTTTACCCTACCTAACTAATAAAAATATGTTTAAGTACCAAATAAAATTTTCTGTAGATCCGACCAAAACAAACAATATTTGCTGAATATGTCTAAATGACTAAGATAATTCGTTGAAGGTACGGTAAAAGATCATCAAATCATATTAACACTATTCACTGCTAAGAATATACAGACACTGATAGATAGTAGAAGCAGACCCAATTTTGATTTCTCGAGGACTAACTCTCAAAATCAAAATTCGATGTATCGTCAACTTAGACATATCTTCTCTTAATTTACAACAAGGAAGTATGCAAGCAAGGCAGAATTGAGTCGGATTTAACAGCTAATCATGTTAAAGCTCTGTCTCTGTTCGATTTGAAATATTTGACAAAGATACATTTTTTTATCACATCTATTCGAAAAGAGCTAGTTTGTTCTATCGCACCTTTATTCAAAAAAAGAAATAACTCAAAATTTCCATTTTTTGGGTTTTCGGCATAAAGTGAACTAACTAATTAGAGTCAATGCGCTCAGTTCAACAGCCGTTTCGATACGATGAAAATGAAAGAGATAGAAGACCATCGTTCTCTTTTCTACAAACGGGTTAGCACAAGTCGATACTAAATAAGTGATCGAATTCAGTGTTACGCCGGCTTCGTTGACAGTAAGGTCTCGAAAGATTTTTGGAAAAACGTAATAACTCTAAATATAGCGGTGTTACACTATCAGGTAAGTATTTCTTCTGGTTAATTATTTAAAAAAAAGTGTATATCTTGAGACTTAAATCTGCTTAATTGAAAAAACACTCATATTTTTAGAGGTTCATTGGGATTTATTACAGTTCTCTATAAAATATTCAGGTGCGATTTGTGTAGCACTTCGAGTTAATGCACTTTTTTATTAAATTATTTAAAAAAGCTTTAGACAGATATGTAATGTTTCAGTATTATAGTATTGAATTTTTAGAAACTTTGAACGTTTAGTTTTTTTTTTCAGTTTATTATTTATTACTTAAATACAATGCAAGTGTCTTTGAGAGTTATTTTCCTTTTAAATGAAACAAGTTAAAAAAATATGCGTTATTATTAAACGAAAATAAAATAAAAATTGTCATACCCTATTAAGAATTTTAAGTAGATACTATACATTATTCTGTTTCAGCTTTTAAGATGGCTTCGAATGGACGAAGAATATTGGTTTTATTTGTTAAAAGTAAAGTTGTGGAAGATAAAGATAGTTCTATCAGTTATAATTCGAATAAAAATAACAATTAAGATTCTAATCTCGAGGTGACTTTCTTTAATACTCTTACGTATCTACCTATTAATTAAGTGGGTATATTTAATTTTAAAATTATTAATTTCCACTTATCCCTGATCAAGTTTAACTTTAATAAAGCATCATTGGTTTTAACAGTAAGTACAGTGCGACTAAATGTATCTTTAAACTCGTGTCGTCAAATACAGTACGTAAATATCAAAGTAAGTAATAAGAACAAAACAGCAAATTGATTCTAGTATTATTTATTATATAACATTTTTGATCACAGAATTCACAGCGTGAAATGAAACAACCCAACGTAAGTCTAGTATGTTACTATGACAGTGATATTACCATATAAGATAATGAAGATCAGACACAATGCTTCACTACAGAAGCAGAAAGTTATAATAAAGAATTTCGTGTACGTCATCTGTCGTCTTCAAGTAGCTCGTCATCTACATATTCTAGGCCACTCTCTTCATGTTCAAACACATCTTTGGCAAGTTTTGAAGTGAATACTTTAAATAAAGCAAACTATTTACAATATAATAACCCTGGACACAATGACAGTCTAGACTATAAATGAAACCGAAGAAGCGTGTTTACCTGCAATTGAAAACACTCCCCCGCAGCATTATCATCATCAACAGCCTATCCTAGTCCACTGCTGGACATAGGCCTCTCCAATTGCACGCCACTCAGATCGATCTTGGGCTACTCGCATCCAGCTCCTGCCAGCCACCTTGCGCAAATCGTCACTCCATCGTGCCTGAGGACGTCCTACACTACGTTTGCCTAGACGCGGTCTCCACTCCAGAACTCGGATTACCTCATTTCTGATGCGATCCTTCAGAGAAACGTTGAGCATAGCCCTTTCCATAGCGCGCTGAGCGACTTTGAATTTGTGGACCAGCCGTATCGTCAGTGTCCACGTCTCGGCTCCTTATGTCATCACAGGTAGGACGCACTGATTAAAGACTTTCGTCTTTAGGCACTGTGGGATCGACGATGTCAGGTCTT